CGGCGCTCCCCGTGCGCCATGCGCCTGGGGCCGGCTCCAGCACCACGCATGCGCCACGCACCCGGGGCAGGGCCAGCCCTGAGCACTTGGCGGGCACACACAAATGCTCCCGCGGGCGCCATAGCGGGGACCACTGGCCTAGATAATATTTAGTCCTATGAGCAGTGCAGGGACCTGGAGTAGATGCCCTCTCAAGGTCCCGGCGCTCCCCGTGCGCCATGCGCCTGGGGCCGGCTCCAGCACCACGCATGCGCCACGCACCCGGGGCAGGGCCAGCCCTGAGCACTTGGCGGGCACACACAAATGCTCCCGCGGGCGCCATAGCGGGGACCACTGGCCTAGATAATATTTAGTCCTATGAGCAGTGCAGGGACCTGGAGTAGATGCCCTCTCAAGGTCCCTTCAGTCTCACAATTTTATGTGTATGGTTGCATGTTCAGATAATGATAATATCTGGTAAATACAGTGAGTGTGGTGAGATGGAGGAAACATGACAAAATGGAGTCTCCTGAGTCTCCACTAAGAATGGAGGAGACAGGAATCTGTTACCTTATATTAGTAGTTACTGAAGAGAAATTGGGTTGCTCATTAAAGGGACACTGTAAAACCTGGTAGGCCCCAAATTAGTTTCTATTCTTTTTTTTTGTTCACTTTATCCAAAATGAATAAATTACATGTACATGCTTTTTATAATTCAGCACTAGTGATCTTAGCGAATGCTCTTAATCATGAGCTATCCAAGAACAACTTTGTTACGTGTGCAATAAAAAGGAAAAAAAAATCTGGAGGGAAAGGAATTTGAAGGTACTTATGAAAAAATACCTGCCAGTAGCCAATACAATAGCCAGTAGCTCATTCACTGTGAGATGCCCCCATTTCTTTTCTCCTAGCTGACTCCTTTTCTGGAAAAGGCCACTATCTGAAACGGATCCGCTACCATGGCCGAGGCATGTTTGGCATCATGGAGAAAGTTAAGTGCCATTACTTTGTGAAACTGGTAGAAGGCCCACCTCCCCCTCCAGAAGCACCGCGGACTGGATTTGACCAAGCTAAGGAATATGTGCAGGAGCTCCGAAACAGAACCATTATTCATACACTATAACACTCTAGTCTAACTGTGTATATTTTCTAATCGTTTGCAAATGTGTAAATAAAAGATTGTAAGCCAGTGTGCATTGTTTGGTTCTCAGTTTGCTGTCGGCTTATGCAAGATCCACTGTCTGATGCAAGGAGGATCCCAAGCTTCTTTTTAGTGCTCGTGGCACCATACATACATGTTACACTTGGAAAGGCAGGGAGTACTGGTATCTCTTCTGAGAAATTTACAGAGATACTTTCGTTAAGCTTGTTTTCAGTATCTCTGTCTTACCCATTTTTCTCAGCCTCCAAAGTGCCAGTTCTGTTCTCTGAATCACGCTGAAAATGGAAGAATTAAATCAGGAAATCCAGTTGTCTGTCCATAAGTTATCCACTCATGCCTTGCATAGCGTCTCTCTTTGACTTTCATACTGTAAGTACATCGGAATGGATGCAAGTACCTGCTGGTGCAGATCTGGTGGTGGACTCGGCCTTCATTAGTAACATGGACATAAAGTGTTTAACTGTCAAAGGCACAACAATGTGACTGAAGTGTAGAGAGAAGCAGACGAGGTCATGATTTCAGTCTCAGATCTTCTATTTTACTAGCTTAGTATTAATCTATTTAGAGCTTGTCTATCTTAGCAGCTTCTGACACAGAGGAAAGCTCTGTAGAAGATAGCATCAACGAGGCACCTTAAGTGCTAGGCTGACTTGTGGATTGCTGGGTGTCCCTTGCTCTGGTACATCAGTATTTCTAAAGCACAGCTTTAAGATCCTTGATGGGATCCCTCTCCTTTCATTCCTACTGGATGCTTACCACCCTGTACTTGACTTCTGTCATACACAGGACCATTAAGTCTCCAAAAGAGATTAGGGCAGGGGGAATGTTGAGAGATTTCCCTGGCAGGGAATTGCAGTTTAGTTAATGCCTGGATATCAGTCCCTTGTGCACCTTGTAGAAAGAAGGGACGTGATTTTTAGATCCTGGTTCAGATCAGTTGTCATGAAGTAAAAAATAACCTCAAACTTCAGCTTGGGAGCTTTAAACGGAGTCGATAGGTGGCACTGTCTGCTTTGTTTGTGAGTGGTGGGATGAGAAGGGAAACTTGTAACACATGAAGCTCATTCTTTGGCCTTCGTGCTGGCATTAACAGCTTGATACATGTACAGAATGCCAGCTGATGGCTTCACTGGAAGCTTTATTAGTAGCAAGGTCATAACATGGAACAAAACTTTTACATGCTTTGTTGGTCAGTAGGAAGAAACCAGATTTTTCTAGACCATGCTTCAGACTAAATAGTGCCTATGCAAGAGATTTTTGTGATACTGAGGCAAATGGAATGCTCTGGTCTTACTGGCGAATAGTTTATATTCTGCAGTCCATAGGGTGGCCATGTTATAAAACTCCACCTGGCTGCTGTTGTGTCTCACCACTATCTATGAGAGAAATAAACTTCAAGATCTGGTTTATAGGTAAGAGTATCTCCTCCCTACCTGGCAACAGAAACTTCTCACTGTCTGACATTTTGAACTTGAAAGACTCGATACAGGGTGAGTTTCTATGGAGCTTAAGGTGCATCACTTGAACAGGTGTCAGGGAAGGGGAAAATTATCTGTAGCATGTCATCACAAATGTCTGGCTTCCAGGCCTTGCTTCCACCTCTGGAAGCTACCCACTGAGTGGAATGGAGGAGACATTCAATTACAGTTCATGTATTGCACCCATCACACTGGATTCTTCCCCTGCCTGGCTTAAGTTTCAATAAAGATTGCTATGAGGATGCAAGCAAGCTGCATCTTTTATAGTCTCAGGAGTAGCAGTGTTAGTCTGTAACTTTAAAAATAAGTAGTCCTGTGGCACTTAGGCTGTGTCTACACAGCATCCTTAGCTTGAAATGGGCTACAAAATTGCGCTATGCAAATTGCGTAGCTTATTTTGTAATTTGGTGCTAATTCGCTATTCCAAAATTTCCCTTAATCCTTGTGGAACGAGGGTTACTGGGATGTCGGAATAAGCCACCCGTTATTTAAAAATAGATTTTGAAATAACAGGCTGCTTCAATATACATGGAGCAGCTATTTCGGGATACTTCCGGTATCCCGAAATAGCTCCGCAGTGTAGATGTACCCTTAGGCTGTGTCTAGACTGGCAAGTTTTTCCGCAAAATCAGATGATTTTGCGGAAAAACTTGCCAGCTGTCTACACTGGCTGCTTGAATTTTCAGAAAAGCACTGACGATCTCCTGTAAAATCATCAGTGCTTTTCCGGAAATACTATGCTCCTTCCGTTCGGGCAAAAGTCTTTTTCCGAAAGACTTTTGTGCGAAAGGGCCAGTGTAGACAGCATAGTAAGGTGTTCCGAAAAAAAGCCCCCATCGCGAAAATGGCGATCGGGGCTTTTTTGTGGAAAAGTGCGTCTAGGTTGGCCACGGACGTTTTTCCGCAAAAAGCATCCTGCCAATCTAGACGTGCTTTTCCAAAAATGCTTTTAACGGAAAACTTTTCCGCTAAAAGCATTTTCGGAAATTCATGCCAGTCTAGACGTAGCCTTTGAGATTAACAATATATATAGTATCACGAGCTTTCGTGGGCAAAACCCAGAGCCACTCCGGTCATCTGAGGAAGTGGGTTTTGCCCTGTGGCACCTTTTATGTAACTCCTGGATAGGTTTTTATTATCCTGAATCTCTCAAGTAAAGCATAGCCTCCTCCTGCCTTGCCATAAGATGTATGTAGCATCTGTCTTGGGTGCTAAAACAATCACCCTTCTATTCCTTAAGTAATACACAGATCTGTAGAAATAGGAAATGCATTCCCAGGCCGATGCTATTACCGCTTTTTTGGCTAGCGCTATTTTGCATTCATGCAATAGAAGCAGTACTTCTAGATAGAGGTCACTCACCTCTCCTGAGTGCCTCCTAGTGGCTGTGTGGGGTACTGCAGGCCTTTACTTTTCCCCATCTCCTTCATAACCTGTCAACCTTATCTGATGACTTCATTAGCTGAGCTACACAGTCAAAAGCAGACAAACCTTTTCCCAGGTAGAAAAAAGTTAAGTGCCCACCTCCCCTTGTCCTTCAACTAGATTTCCCAACAGCACCTTATCCTCTTCTCAGGGCTTCGGCCATCTTGCTAGTAGGCCGGCAAATGGAAGCCTTGGGACCACTCACTACTCTGGGGCTATGTCTACACTCGCGGCTTCTTGCACAAGAACATCTTGCGCAAGTGTTCTTGTGCAAGAAAACGTCCACACTGCCATGTGCGTGCTGTGCTTTTGCTCAAGAGTGCCTGTGGCAGGGTGGATGCTTTCTTGCGCAAGAAATCCCTGCTGAGCATCCACACTGCCCTCTTGCACAAGAGGGCTTACACCTGTCAAAAAAGAGCGTAGCTCTTGCGCAAGGAGCCCTCTCTTACCACACCGAACTGTAAATTTACTTGCGCAAGAGCGGGAGGGCAGTGTGGACGCTCTGCAGATTCTTGCGCAAGAACGACTGTACTTGCACAAGAAGCTGCGAGTGTAGGTATAGTCTGGGTCTCAGCCCAGGGACCCTCCACACAGCTGCTTCCTTCAGCTTGTTGTTGCTATTCCCTGGGCATTTCCCCATGTAATCCCTTTCTCTTCACCCTGACCTCAGTGCTGAGGTTCTCTCATCCACTTCCTTCTCCCTGAATGCAAGCATCACCAGAACCCAACGGCTGGTGCTTTTGCAATCCTGCAACCAACAGCAAGCCCCCTTCCAGGGTCTGGCCCCAGCCCAGAAGTGATCTGTTTGTGCCCGGCAGCTCCTTTTATCTGAGCCGCTGGGTTCTGATTGACTGCTTTCTCAAGTGCCTTCTAGGCATGCTCTGAGGACCCAGCTCTGCTGCTCCTTCTGGGGGTGGTGTGTAGAAGGACTGCAGGGCCAGGGTCATCCTTAGGATGTATGGGGCCCTACGCTGTACTAGTAAACCAGTGCCTCTGTGCCTGATGGCAGCTGGGGGATGATTTTTTAGAGCTGTGATTTCATAATCTTGAACACACTCATGAAATATTTTAAAGCAAATGTTAAATGACGGTCCTGGGACTAATGCAGTACCTTCAGAAACTGACAGTCTGTACCTAGGGTTGGCAAATGCCTGTTAAATGGCTTCAGTATCACTTGAATGGCTCTTTCACAGGCTCAGTGTTCTGCTAATCGCCTTGGCAGGCGTTTTTACTTGTAAGTTAACTAGATTCTCTCTGGAGGAAGCACAGCCGCAGAGCAGGGATAGGAAGAGGTGGAGGGTGGACGTTAAGACCCAGTAGTGCCCCAAATTTTCAGGTGCCCTACACAGCTGCATATTCTGCATATGGGTAAGGATGGCCCTGCACAGGCCTCCAGCATGTGGCCTCGGAGAGCTAGGTGCACATCATCCACAGTATTACTGATGTGATTCCATTTTTCCCCCGAGTGATGCAACCCTAATGAAACAGAAAAGGCATCCTCCTTTGCAAATCCCAGATGCACTTTGGAGAAGCTCTTCCTCAAAGTGGTGACATGCTACTAGCAGCAGCTGCAGTTAACTAATCCAGGTGAGGTGCTGAAACTAGTTTGTAAATCACTTGCTGTGTCCCTATTTTTTATAGGGTTACGTTATCACACGGAGATGACTTAATCTGTGTGGGGTGACTTTGGTCTGGGGAGGGAAGACGATTTAACTACAATGTAGACACATCCACATTAAACAAATTGTCACTGTAATGTGAATGCTTCCAGATGTCCTTTCAAATCAGCTGTCTCTCTTGCACACTAAATACTTGCCCTTCAGATGTACATCTGACCTCTCTACAAGGTTGTTTCCTTAACAGCGATTTGCAAGCAGTGGGGCAATGGGTTTATATTCTTTCAGTTGTGTACTGCATTATAGCCCGAAAGCTTAAAAACAAACCCTCCTTTTTTATTTCCCTCTAGAAATGCTGTTTGTGCTTGGCCTGGAATGCTACATGATAAATGGGAAACTATTAAAATGATGACATTGCAAAAGGCAAGTTTGAGCAATAGAAAGGTAGGAATTTCAAGTCCTGGTTTAAAACTTTTAGTTAGGGGAGTCAGCATTAGGAACTAAAAATT